TTAGCGCAACAGACACCGACATCCTGGTTTTGATGGTGCATATCTATTCATGGAGAGATATTGATCGACCATGGCAAATGAAAATCGACCATCAAAATTTCGTCAACGTTGCCGCAATTGCTGATCACATCGGTTCGGAAGCATGCAATATCTTACCAGCTTTTCACAGTATAACTGGATGTGACACGACATCATTTCAATTTAGAGTTGGTAAAGTTGCCCCATGGAAAAAGCTGATGAAAATGCGTTTATATGACCTTCTTTTGACATTTGGCTGCAGATTTCTGACGGATGATAGCCTGCTAGCAGCCAAAGAATTCTTTCGAAGTATCATGTGTAATGGAGAAATAAAAGAAAGCCACCTAGATACAAGAGTAAGAATGTACCAAAAGCAAAAATTGTAGTCTAGTGAGGGAATAATTCCGGATGAAAACAGTGCCATGCAACACCTTTAAGCGAAGTTGGCTGCAATGCTATGTTTGGTGTCATTATACTGAGAGTCAAATTGATTTCCCTACCATTGACGAAACTTTTGGTTGGAGTCAGAATGTCGGTTTCATTAAGCCATTGTGGTATTCGTGCAGCCAGTTTCCACCAGATATGACAGACATTAACGAAGAGGCAGGAGTTTATGGTAAGCAACTAAGCAGTTAATATTAAAAGTTGATTAGCAATTTTTCTTTTCTGAATCTTAGCAGTTCTGCATTGTCGAAATTTATCTACTAGTTGTTTCCAGAATAGCTCTACCAACCTGATTCCAATTTCTTATCGTTGGTTGGTCTTCCTGCTTTACTTCATGAGACTGATTTTTTTAGACCCAGGAGTGCACTTAGATGGAGAGATTTGTTTGCGCGATGAACAGGAACCCCCAGAAAAACGAATCAGAACAAAAGAGGCAGAAGAACGGAATGTGGAAGTCGAGAGTCTGTTTACGACTTTGACTTCAGAAGTTGAATTTGATGAAACAGGAGAAAAAGATGAAGAACAAGAGGAAGAAGGAGAGGAAGAAGATAATTATGAAGATGACTGGGATTCAGACAGCAGTTTTGGGGACCTTCACTAACAATACTGCTTTGCACAGAAAAACATTTGTTTTGTTGGCAGAGGGACCATATCATTAGTTAGAATAGTTCTTGTGGCAGAATGCACCATTTTTCAAATCTACCATTATGTGTTTCATCTGGTATCGACTATAGCGACTTAAAGCACATCAGAACATTTTCGTATTCAAATGCTTGGTAAAAAAGGATATGTGCAAGCAAAATTCTGAATACCCGCCATATTGAATTTATGCCGCCATTATGAAGGGAAATGGTAAAAGATAATTACTACGGAATATTTACAAAAAGATATAGTTATCTGCTTGAAGATATCAAAAACTTGCGTTTGATGTAAGAATATGCCTATTTGTAGAGGCCATCTGCCAGCAGTGGAATGACGGGCTGAGATGATGATGATGATGATGATGATGATGATGATGATGATGATGATGATGATGATGATGATGATGATGATGATGATGATGATGATGATGATGATGATGATGATGATGATGATGATGATGATGATGATGATGATGATGATGATGATGATGATGATGATGATGATGATGATGATGATTTCCCAAAATTCACGTTCCTTGGTTCCTTTTTCACCCTTGGGATTCCTTGGTTCCTATAAGTTTCAGGCAAAAACTCTGTCAGTTTGTTGGGGGAGAGTAAGAGTACGATGGCAGTGAGAGCAAGAGGAGCGAAAGCGAAGTGTTGGACATTTGTCTACAAGTGTTTTCCAGATGATGTTATGGAGCGCTTGGAACAGCGAAGCGAAGACTTCGAGTATCTTATAGCGTCGAAGGTGAACAACGAAGGAGAAGCACAATCCCTCCGTGGATATATCATTTTCAAATGTCAAAAAAGAGTGAACAGCGTTGAAACAATACTCAATATTGAGGGGAGACCAGAGCGACTGGAAATAGAAATAGCTAGAGGCTCGTCGAGGAAGCACAAGGCTCAGTGCAAGTGTGGGCAAGGATTCTTTGAAATTGGAGAGAACAAATTCAAAGAAAGAGAGAAAAGTCAATTGGAAATGATGAGAGAAAGACGTATGCAAGAAGCCACCGAAGATGCCATGCTGGAAGAATTTGGGGACACCTGGATACATAGTCAGTCCTCAGTAGACAAAAGCATCAAGCGGCAGCAAAATGAGGAATCTAAGGAAAGGATTTTGGACAAGTTTCAAAATGCACTTCTACGACCATGGCAAGAAGAGGTTTTGCGTCTGCTTCGCTGCCAGGGGCCACGTAGAATAACGTTCGTTGTTGACGAAACAGGAAATACCGGCAAAACCTTTCTTGCAAAGTACATTCTGGCAACAAAAAGTTCTTTGTATTTCACCTCTACAACATTGAAAGACACTGCTTATGCCTGGAACGGAGAGCGATACATCGTGTTTGATGTCAGCAGGGAAAAATCGGCAAAGATAAACTATTCAACATTAGAGACTATTAAAAATGGCATTGTCTTTAGTAGCAAATATAAGTCGTCAACTAAAATTTTCCCTATTCCAATTATTGTATGTATGATGAACACTAGACCCTACGCTAAAATGATGTCCAATGATAGGTATCACATTGTCGTCTTAGATAAGTCCCCTGACCCCCTTGAACACCACATTTCCTTTAAAATTGAAGACTTTAGGTATGCCCAGGAGCGTGTATCTGAATAAAAAACTTTGAAGTAAAATTGTGAATTTTTGTCGTTCTCTCCTTTAAAAGAATCATAAACGCCAGTGGAATGCTTACACGCCAGTAGCTTCAATTCTTAAAGCAAATATTACAATGCAGAGACTAGCCCGAGGAAGATTTGTAACCAGATAATATATTCAACCTTTTAAATTGCTTCAGTGGATAGGTTTCAGACAAAGGTTCGTCTTCCAGCCTTGAAATGAAACGGTCTTATAACCTCATTGTCATTTCATTGATAGATACAAAACCTTTCTTTTGGCTGGGCTTGCATTCATAAGTTTGCAAGGATATCCAAGGCTTTTGGCCTCGTTCCCATGTTGATGGGCCGGTGTTCTCGATATCGTTGTAACAACTGTTAATATAGAATGTAGATATATCATTGGGCTGGGCTTCTATCCATAAGTTTGCAAGGAAATCCAAGGCTTCTGACCTCGTTCCCATGTTGATGGGCTGGTGGTCTCGATATCGTTGTAACAACTGTTAATATAGAATGTAGATATATCATTGGGCTGGGCTTCTATCCATAAGTTTGCAAGGAAATCCAAGGCTTCTGACCTCGTTCCCATGTTGATGGGCTGGTGGTCTCGATATCGTTGTAACAACTGTTAATATAGAATGTACATATATCATTGGGCTGGGCTTCCATCCATAAGTTTGCAAGGAAATCCAAGGCTTCAGACCTCGTTCTCATGTTGATGGGCCGGTGTTCTCGATATCGTTGTAACAACTGTTAATATAGAATGTAGATATATCATTGGGCTGGGCTTCTATCCATAAGTTTGCAAGGAAATCCAAGGCTTCTGACCTCGTTCCCATCTTGATGGGCTGGTGGTCTCGATGTCATTATCAAAGGCCACTGCCTTGTCAAACTTTATAAGGAAAAGCCCAGCCCAACATTTTATAATGTATAGTATAGCACACCCATCCGAGATTAGAAGCCAACATCATTGCGAGGACGGAAGACCACTCATTGCCTTGTTAAACTTTATAGGAAAAAGCCCAGCCCAACATTATATAATGTATAGTATGGCACACCCATTCGAGATTAGAAGCCAACATCATTGCGAGGACGGAAGACCACTCACTGCCTTGTTAAACTTTATAGGAAAAAGCCCAGCCCAACATTTTATAATGTATAGTATAGCACATCCATCCGAGATTAGAAGCCAACATCATTGCGAGGACGGAAGACCACTCATTGCCTTGTTAAACTTTATAGGAAAAAGCCCAGCCCAACATTTTATAATGTATAGTATGGCACACCCATTCGAGATTAGAAGCCAACATCATTGCGAGGACGGAAGACCACTCACTGCCTTGTTAAACTTTATAGGAAAAAGCCCAGCCCAACATTTTATAATGTATAGTATGGCACACCCATCCGAGATTAGAAGCCAACATCATTACGAGGACGGAAGACCACTCATTGCCTTGTTAAACTTTATAGGGAAAAGCCCAGCCCAACATTTTATAATGTATAGTATGGCACACCCATCCGAGATTACAAGCAAAGATCACTACGAGATTATAAGGCCAGAACGTCTACAAAACTGTAGGAATAAGAGCTAGTCAAAAATCAACTTATATCATTGTTAGGCGTCTGGCACATGCGTATATACGAATCGAACAGAAAAACAACTTTGTAAAAGAAATATTCAAACATTCTTCCCATCATGTATTATGATTCCTAAACGATTTCTACGACTTAACTTTTCCACACAGCTTTTCATACATACAACGAAATTGATTACTTCTAACGTGTCTTAACAAAGAGTTACGTGCTCTTCCCTCTGCGAAGCACACGCTCGGGTCCGAAAGTATTTTGCCCCATTTGCCATAACCATGTTTGTTTATTCCCTTTATCAAATTCAAGTCCTCCTTCTCAGTGAATGGTGTTATACGCTTTCGAATTGACGTCATCTGGCAGTCGCTGTCTGTCTTTGCTACAGGTTTGGTATTGCTCTGTGTAATGAAAATGTCCGAGTCCGACTCAGAGTCTTCTGCACCCGTCGAAACATTGACGAGTTTTTTCAAAGAGCTGTCTAGTTGTTCTCCAGTTTCTCCCCTCAGCTTCTTAATGCAGTGATTCCCCTTTTCGGCAACGACTCTCGAACGCATTTTGCGATAATGAATCCTTGCAACATTTGAAGTATGTTTTTGATCTTGCGAGATCAGCTCTTGTTCTTCAAGGGATAGAACATCAGCACTCTCTGTTTCGATACGTGTTGGGTGCACATACTTGCCAATAGCTTCATAGACAAGCAAACACATAGCTTGACTCAGCTTCGTAAATTGGGTTCCATTGCGCGTAAGTAACAGATATTCGCATTTTGGAAGAAACCTCGGCCTAACGTGTCTCACATAGTCGTCCAAAACATGCATGCAGACGTCATCTATGACCATGGAATCAAAGCCATACTTGTCAGCTATTTTGAATTTCTTCTGGTCGACGTATCCGCCATTTTTTGCTGCACTACGTAGCATGCCAATTGTCAGGAATTGGTTTGTCATTGGCCGAGAACCCTTGACACGTAAAAAGAGAAATGTCGTTATAAATCTCGTTGAAAAAGTTAGATCAGACGCTGAAACTTCTGCTGAATGCTCTCGACATTTGGCCACTATTTTCTTGTATCGTCCCATGTGAAACGGTATGACCTTTTGTAAGTCTTTTAGTGATGCCCAATGTCCTTTTCTCTCCAAGGTATCAACATCCAATTCTACAGTCCACTGTACACGCATCTTACGAGCAATACATCTTCTGGCGCGCTTCAAAAATACTTCTGCAACACTAAAATTTGATAAGATTGAAGCTGACACTCCTTTAAACTTTCTATACTCCATTGTTTCCAACAAAGCATTGATGTAACTAACGCTCCCAGCAAATCCAATAGATTTCTCATCCTCCAAATGTTGTAAAAAAGCTGACAAGCATGCCATTGAAGCCAAATAGTAGTCAATTTTAGGCCCCTCTATCCCTTCGAGCATAAGATCGTCCTGAGAGTGCTGAATAAACTTTTGGACACGAGAGCAAATCTGATTTGCGTGTGCCTTCGTGCGAGCACCACCGGTAGAGCTGCACATCCATTTGGCAAATGTTTCACTGAAAATGACGTCATCTGGAATGATATTCGAACTACCATCCTTTGACTCGTTGGTCTTCTCGTCACATGTGTTTTGTGGCGCAACTTTATTATCCATAATATCTTTCGGGTATTCGTCAAAATAGAAGAACCAAGGATGCGAATTTGTAATGTGCTTTCTGCAACCTCTTTGACTGCGGAAGCCTTCATGCTCGCAATCACCAATAGGGCACTGAAATATTCCGTGCACATTAGCTATTAACATCAGCCTTTTCTTCAACTTTGCAGCTCCTGGGACGTCTTTCCAACGTACTACCATCGAAGACATCTTCTAGTTTTGTGGCCAAGCTGAAAACTTGCAGCGCTATATATAGGTTGAAACTTCTCAAGAGACATGTGAATTTCGTTTTGCTGTTTTACGGAGAAACGTGACTAAACTCAAATGAGCAAAAGAAAATCGGCCCAAAAGTACTTAGCGCACGCAGAACGAAGGAACTTGAGAACGTATATTCAAATTTATGTTAGAATGTATAGGAAAAGCGAGGGACCAAAGGTCCGTAATTCCCATAACGGCACGTTAGCAGCATATCCTAAAATTGACGAGACGTTCCTAACACAAAGGAACAAAGGAACAGTTCCCATGGTCCAAAAGACCTATCTTAGTACCTTTGTTCTTTTATGGGGATCTATGGAACATTAACCAAATGCCAGCAATTTTCACATATGAATTTTTAAGATGCTTAAGGGCACTCTTTTCGGGAAAAAAACATCAGATGGTTGCATGAGTATGAGAGACATCTGAAAATAGCATAATGGGACTTGATAGAATTCACTCTTCTGAATAAACTAAAATATAAAACTTCAATGAAGTATCTCCAAATTTGGCAAATACTGATGACCATTTCCCAAAATTCACGTTCCTTGGTTCCTTTTTCACCCTTGGGATTCCTTGGTTCCTATAAGTTTCAGGCAGAAACTCTGTCAGTTTGTTGGGGGAGAGTAAGAGTACGATGGCAGTGAGAGCAAGAGGAGCGAAAGCGAAGTGTTGGACATTTGTCTACAAGTGTTTTCCAGATGATGTTATGGAGAGACTGGAACAGCGAAGCGAAGACTTCGAGTATCTTATAGCGTCGAAGGTGGACAACGAAGGAGAAGCACAATCCCTCCGTGGATATATCATTTTCAAATGTCAAAAAAGAATGAACAGCGTTGAAACAATACTCAATATTGAGGGGAGACCAGAGCGACTGGAAATAGAAATAGCTAGAGGCTCGTCGAGGAAGCACAAGGCTCAGTGCAAGTGTGGGCAAGGATTCTTTGAAATTGGAGAGAACAAATTCAAAGAAAGAGAGAAAAGTCAATTAGAAATGATGAGAGAAAGACGTATGCAAGAAGCCACCGAAGATGCCATGCTGGAGGAATTTGGGGACACCTGGATACATAGTCAGTCCTCAGTTGACAAAAGTATCAAGCGGCAGCAAAATGAGGAATCTAAGGAACGGATTTTGGACAAGTTTCAAAATGCACTTCTACGACCATGGCAAGAAGAGGTTTTGCGTCTGCTTCGCTGCCAGGGGCCACGTAGAATAACGTTCGTTGTTGACGAAACAGGAAATACCGGCAAGACCTTTCTTGCAAAGTACATTCTGGCAACAAAAAGTTCCTTGTATTTCACCTCTACAACATTGAAAGACACTGCTTATGCCTGGAACGGAGAGCGATACATCGTGTTTGATGTCAGCAGGGAAAAATCGGCAAAGATAAACTATTCAACATTAGAGACTATTAAAAATGGCATTGTCTTTAGTAGCAAATATAAGTCGTCAACTAAAATTTTCCCTATTCCAATTATTATATGTATGATGAACACTAGACCCTACGGTAAAATGATGTCCAATGATAGGTATCACATTGTCGTCTTAGATAAGTCCCCTGACCCCCTTGAACACCACATTTCATTTAAAATTGAAGACTTTAGGTATGCCCAGGAGCGTGTATCTGAATAAAAAACTTTGAAGTAAAATTGTGAATTTTTGTCGTTCTCTCCTTTAAAAGAATCATAAACGCCAGTGGAATGCTTACACGCCAGTAGCTTCAATTCTTAAAGCAAATATTACAATGCAGAGACTAGCCCGAGGAAGATTTGTAACCAGATAATATATTCAACCTTTTAAATTGCTTCAGTGGATAGGTTTCAGACAAAGGTTCGTCTTCCAGCCTTGAAATGAAACGGTCTTATAACCTCATTGTCATTTCATTGATAGATACAAAACCTTTCTGTTGGCTGGGCTTGCATTCATAAGTTTGCAAGGATATCCAAGGCTTTTGGCCTCGTTCCCATGGTGATGGGCCGGTGTTCTCGATATCGTTGTAACAACTGTTAATATAGAATGTAGATATATCATTGGGCTGGGCTTCTATCCATAAGTTTGCAAGGACATGCAAGGCTTCTGACCTCGTTCCCATGTTGATGGGCTGGTGGTCTCGATATCGTTGTAACAACTGTTAATATAGAATGTAGATATATCATTGGGCTGGGCTTCTATCCATAAGTTTGCAAGGAAATCCAAGGCTTCTGACCTCGTTCCCATGTTGATGGGCTGGTGGTCTCGATATCGTTGTAACAACTGTTAATATAGAATGTACATATATCATTGGGCTGGGCTTCCATCCATAAGTTTGCAAGGAAATCCAAGGCTTCTGACCTCGTTCTCATGTTGATGGGCCGCTGTTCTCGATATCGTTGTAACAACTGTTAATATAGAATGTAGATATATCATTGGGCTGGGCTTCTATCCATAAGTTTGCAAGGAAATCCAAGGCTTCTGACCTCGTTCCCATGTTGATGGGCTGGTGGTCTCGATATCGTTGTAACAACTGTTAATATAGAATGTAGATATATCATTGGGCTGGGCTTCTATCCATAAGTTTGCAAGGAAATCCAAGGCTTCTGACCTCGTTCCCATGTTGATGGGCTGGTGGTCTCGATATCGTTGTAACAACTGTTAATATAGAATGTACATATATCATTGGGCTGGGCTTCCATCCATAAGTTTGCAAGGAAATCCAAGGCTTCTGACCTCGTTCCCATCTTGATGGGCTGGTGGTCTCGATGTCATTATCAAAGGCCACTACCTTGTCAAACTTTATAAGGAAAAGCCCAGCCCAACATTTTATAATGTATAGTATAGCACACCCATCCGAGATTAGAAGCCAACATCATTGCGAGGACGGAAGACCACTCATTGCCTTGTTAAACTTTATAGGAAAAAGCCCAGCCCAACATTTTATAATGTATAGTATGGCACACCCATTCGAGATTAGAAGCCAACATCATTGCGAGGACGGAAGACCACTCACTGCCTTGTTAAACTTTATAGGAAAAAGCCCAGCCCAACATTTTATAATGTATAGTATAGCACATCCATCCGAGATTAGAAGCCAACATCATTGCGAGGACGGAAGACCACTCATTGCCTTGTCAATCTTTATAGGAAAAAGCCCAGCCCAACATTTTATAATGTATAGTATGGCACACCCATCCGAGATTAGAAGCCAACATCATTGCGAGGACGGAAGACCACTCATTGCCTTGTCAAACTTTATAGGAAAAAGCCCAGCCCAACATTTTATAATGTATAGTATGGCACACCCTTCCGAGATTAGAAGCCAACATCATTGCGAGGACGGAAGACCACTCATTGCCTTGTCAAACTTTATAGGAAAAAGCCCAGCCCAACATTTTATAATGTATAGTATGGCACACCCATCCGAGATTAGAAGCCAACATCATTGCGAGGACGGAAGACCACTCATTGAACTTTATAGGGAAAAGCCCAGCCCAACATTTTATAATGTATAGTATGGCACACCCATCCGAGATTACAAGCAAAGATCACTACGAGATTATAAGGCCAGAACGTCTACAAAACTGTAGGAATAAGAGCTAGTCAAAAATCAACTTATA